TCCCACACTGGGGATCGAGCCTGCAACCCAGACATGTGCCCTTGGCTGGAATCGAACCCGGGACCCTTCAGTCTGTAGGCTGACGCTCTATCCACTGAGCCACACCGGCTGGGGCTTGAATGGCCTTTCAACTGGCACCGCAGCCTCCAGTCTTTTTAAAAAAATATATTTTACTGATTTCAGAGAGGAAGGGAAAGGGAGAGGGCGAGAGAGAGAAACATCAGCGATGAGAGAGAATCATTGATCGGCTGCCTCCTGCACGCCCCCTACTGGGGATCAAGCCCGCAACTTGGGCATGTGCCCTTGACTGGAATCGAACCTGGGACCCTCCAGTCCTCAGTCCGACGCTCTATCCTCTGAGCCAAACCGGCTGGGGCTTGAATGGCCTTTCAACTGGCACCGCAGCCTCCAGTCTTTTTAAAAAAATATATTTTACTGATTTCAGAGAGGAAGGGAAAGGGAGAGGGCGAGAGAGAGAAACATCAGCGATGAGAGAGAATCATTGATCGGCTGCCTCCTGCACGCCCCCTACTAGGGATCAAGCCCGCAACTTGGGCATGTGCCCTTGACTGGAATCGAACCTGGGACCCTCCAGTCCTCAGTCCGACGCTCTATCCTCTGAGCCAAACCGGCTGGGGCTTGAATGGCCTTTCAACTGGCACCGCAGCCTCCAGTCTTTCTTGCCACACACCCCGTCCCCCTCCGCTGTTAGAGCGATGTGCTTAGGGCAGTCGCAACACTGTCCCTCTCACCTCACATCCTGCAATGGCCTCCAGAGCAAAGCCCAGACTCCTAGGCAGGCATGCAAGGCCCACTGCCATCTGCCGCCAAGACCCCGTGCTAGCCCAGCGCTGGCAGGGCCCCGGCAACAGGGGAAGGTGCTGCATCTACACCAGGGGTCCTCAAACTACGGCCCGCGGGCCACATGCAAATACAAATATTGTATTTGTTCCCGTTTTGTTTTTTTACTTGAAAATAAGGTATGTGCAGTGTGCATAGGAATTTGTTCAAGTAAAAAAACAAAATGGGAACAAATACAATATTTGTATTTGCATGTGGCCCACGGGCCGTAGTTTGAGGACCCCTGCTCTACACTAATGCGGTAGCTACTGGCCACCTGTGGCCACCGAGCACCTGGCACGCGGCCGTCTGAGTGAAGAACTGGTTGTTGGATGTAGCTCCAATTAATTTATTGTTTTTAAATTTGTTTTTGCATGTTTTTTTGTTAATCCTTACCCGATGTTATTTTCCCATTGGTTTTTATTTTATTTACTTATTTTATATGTTTTTTATTGATTTCAGAGAGGAAGGGGGAGGGAGAGAAAGAGAGAAACATCAATGATGAGAGAGCATCATGGATCGGCTGCCTCCTGCACGCCCCACACTGGGGATTAAGCCTGCAACCCGGGCCTGTGCCCTGACCGGGAATCGAACCGTGACCTCCTGGTTCATAGGTCGATGCTCAACCACTGAGCCACGCCGGCCGGGGTAGCTCTAATGAACTTAAACAGCCGCGTGGCTCCCACGCTGGTCAGGCAGCTCTAGTCTGAGCGGACTCACTGCTCCTCCCCATTCAGATGGGTCTTTCCCGCTGGGCCTTGGGCCGTGGGTGGAGAGCAGACCCTCATTCATCAGAGCCGGGCCTGGGTGGCCCCTCCTCCAGGATGCTGTCCTTGACCCCCTTGGACCACAGCGTTCTCTGGCTCCTCAGAACCAGTGGACACACCGTCTTGTACCTGATCCTTCTACACTCATGGCTTATCCCCCACGTATACCTCGAATAAATTCCCAGAGAGCAGAGTCAGTATCTTGAGAGCTCGGGCTCTATTTGAGGCACAGACACGGCGGACGGAGGGGCGGGCTGCCACTGCTCGAATTCCAGCCACAGCTTGCTAAGTGACACCAGCTCAGCACCCACTGCCGGCCCTTGTCTCTAGGTTATGCTCCTGCTGCTAACAGACCGAGGCCCTAAACATGGTGCCAGTTTGGAGAGAAAGCCAGGCCCAGCCGGTGTGGCTCAGTGGTTGAGTGTGGACCTATGAACCAGGAGGTCATGGGTTCGATTCTCAATCAGGGCACATGCCCCGGCTGGTGGCTGGATCCCTAGTGGGGGGCGTGCAGGAGGCAGCTGATCAATGATTCTCCCTCATCATTGATGTTTCTATCCCTCTCTCCTCCCTCCCTCTCAGAAGTCAATAAAAAAATATTTTTTTAAAAAGGTATTAAAATGTAAATGTTTTTTTAAAGAGCCAGGAGATGAGAGGGACTGGGAGAGAGAGGGCTGGGGAACCAGCGGGCGGAGGGAAAGGGTTGGGGGAGGTGCAGAGAGGGAGGCGGGAGGTGAGCACAGGGCACTGGAGCCGGGGTGCAGGGGGAGGGGGTGCCAGGCTGCATGAGATGGAGCTTCAGGGCGTTAGACTGACCCCCCCGACCCAGGCACCAGGCCGTCCTCTCGCCATCCCTGTCCAGCTCTACTGTGCTCCCCGAGCCCTCGCTGCACCCCAGGGCCACCCCCGGGAGGGAGGCCCGACCCTACCTCACTGCCCAGCGTGCGCCGCTCCAACAGGAGGCGGAAGTGGTTGCGGGTCCTCTTGTTGTCCTTGAGCCCCTGGCCCAGGCCTCGGTTGTCGTCCTGCATCAGCCGCCGGTCCAGGATCACCTCCAGCTGGCCTGCGGGCGTGAACTGTGAGTCCCGATGGAGCAGACAGTGAC